GTGGGGGGGGGCGCTGGTCCCCGAACTCCTCCTCCGCCCAATCGAGGAGCGCGGAAAAGACTGGGAGGTTGAAGAACCGGGTGGGGAACACGAACCTGACGCGCTCTGCGCCGACATAAACTGCGACTGATCCGGCCGAGGAGCGACGGAGCAGGGACAACAACTCTTCATTATCAGGTCGGTCGCGATAGATGAGCCTCGTGTTTCTCCACTGTCGGACAACGTGCCGCAACCGCACTATCTCGTCTTTTTTACTTCGATTTCACTAAATTAAATTAATCCTTGTATCTTAGTGTGTAATATAGTTTTTTAGAAATGTGATTATATGGAAGTAATAAAATGGAATAAACCCAAATAAAATCTACTTGTGATCTTTTAAATGTTTAAATTTATATTTTTTTCAAAAAAAATTTAAAACCACATTTAGGCGGAATTTTTCGAAAATTTTCAAAAGAAAATTGTATGTTTAGTAACTTTAAAAATTTTAGACGGGATTTTAATTTCTATTACAATAAATTCCTATTGCTTTATTGCCTTTTTTTTATATTAGTAGATAGATGTTTTGCATTCGGATAGAAGTCAATTTGATTTGGTTTTTCATTCGAATTGAAAATTGATTTCACATTCATTTCTGAAAAAGAAAAATCGATATAATTTCAGATTCGTTTCTTTTATTTCAAAAGTGGTTTCAGATTCAGATTTTTTAAGGAAAAAAAAAATCAATTTAATTTTATATTTGATTTAGAACAAAAATTTCTTCCAATTCAATTTTGAATTTTGGTAAGTCTCTGTTGACTTCATCATCTTATTTATGTAACATCTCACATAGTCGCACTCAAAAAGAAGCATCTCAATAAAATCTTGCCCAACTCCAACATAACCGTAGCACAAACAATTTTATTTCTCACGATATATAGAAAGTCTACTATTTCAACTATATATAAAAAGTACAAACGGGAAAGTACTTTCTATTATTATCAAGCAGCCTCTATCCACAAGCAAGGCCCAACCAACACTCTCAATAAATAGTTGCACTGTTTCACAATCCTCCAAATTATTCGCGATCCATCGACGTCGATTAAGCCACGAACGGCCTCGATTAAAGATGAAAAACTTCTCAAACTCCTCCCAACAGTTTCTATATGAATGCTGCAAATTGCAATTTCGTATAGCACTAAAAGCTCGAGCTCCTCTGCAAGTCCCGTAATTTCTCATCGACTTTCCGAGCCTTAGTTTTGACCTGTCTTTCTTTTTCCTCGCTGGCCTCTTCACTCTGCAAAGTCGTTACATCAGTCTTTCTTGATATTTGCTATAATATTGTCATGAACGGGACTCGTTAACGTTTACCTTTCGCTTGTGTTTCCTTTCGCTTTCATCCTATCAAGAGTAGATAAAAAAAACGAATATTTGTTAATGTCGCTAGTTAAGTACCTTTGACAATAATGCTAATTGAAAAAAAAAAAAAGAAAAAGGAAAGACTAAGAACTTGTGAATGAAAACATTGATTGACATATCAAAGTATATCTCCATGTTCACCAAAGCTCGTCTTAGGCTCGCGTTCTCTTCTCTAAGCTGATTCAGTTCCGCTTCCAGCTCCACCGTATACGCCTACCGAAAAGGAAAAAAATGATGCACAAAAATAGATAAACGAGATTGCCATATATCACACTCAAAAAGTGAATCACTATTTGCAAAAGCCTCATAACATAATGAAGAAGTAATTCGATCGAAATAGAAAGTATCAAGTCGATGCAAATATTAGAAGCTAAAAGTCGAGTACTCAATCGAACGAGAGCATCCAATCTCTACTTTTAATTAAGCCAAAAGCCAACGAATATGTAAATATATATCAGAAGCTAATAGTTGAGTGAATCGGACATGAGCATCCGTTCATAATTTCAAGCCAAAAGCTAACAAACACGTAAATATTAGAATGTAAAAGTCAAGTGAGTCGAACGAGAGCATCCAATCATAATTTCTAACCCGAAAAGCTAACAAATACGTAAACATTAGAAGCTAATAGTCGAGCGAGTCAAACCAAATACATAAATATTAGAAGCTAAAAGTCAAGCGAGTCGAAGGAGAGCATCCAATCATAATCTTAACCGAAAAGCTAAGAGCACCCACAATGCTTTGAGTCTCTTTAAAAAATTTCACATGCCATGTAAAAAATAGACTTAGCCTATAAAAAAGTATTTCATAATGCAATTAAAAGTGGACCTAGTCTAGCTTATGTGGCAATAAAAAAAAAAGAGACCATTTTGGACCCAAGTGTGAACCTTACAATCAACAATCATTTACTATTATTATATTTTTATTGGTTGGTAGGTATTCTAGACCTAGTACTTTTTTTTTCTGGATAGATTTTGAATTTTTTAGCTTGTGTTTGTCCATGTCATTATAGACTTAAGTCTATTTATTTGCCACATATGCAAAAAGAGACCCAAAGCATTGTGGGTGCTCTAACAAACATGTAAACATTAGAAGCTAATAGTCGAGTGAGTCAAACGAGAACCTCCAATCATAATTTGTAACCCCAAAGGTAACAATACGTACACATTAGAAGCTAATAATCGAGCAAGTCGAACCAAAGAGGTAAATATTAGAAGCTAATAATAGATGAGTCCAATCGTAACTTTAAGCCAATACGTATAAACGCGCACACACACACACACACACAAACACACACACGTACCTGCTTCCTCGCCCTAGAGCGTGCGGCCGATTCTCGATTCTTGATCATCCTCCGTTGCCTCCTCTCCAAAACCTTCTCCACAGGCCTATCACCGGCCCGCCTCCTCCCCTCCACCCCGCACGGCCCGCCCGTCGCGACCGGGCTGGCCGGCGACCCGACCCCCACCGGCCCATAACTACACGCCGCCGCCATGGGCCCCCTCACGGCGTAGTTGGTGGGCCCCACCGCCACCGCCGCCGTCGCCACCCCATCATAAGCGTGCTGGGCCTGGGCCCGCACAATCCCTGCCCGGACCAAGAAGTCCTCGAGCGTCATCTCCCCGAACGTCAGCTGCCGGTTGTTGGCCGCCGGATTCTCGCCGGCAGCCGCACCGTTGGCTCTGTGGATTCGGGACCACACCTCGTCGACAGTTTTCCCGTAAAGAGGCTCGGGAATGGCGAAGGAGCCCTGCCTCGGAAGGCCCGGGCCCGGGTTGGGGGCCCGACCAGGGAACTGGGCTGAGTACTGGTTGATGTTGCTGCCGGTGGGATGTGTATGAGAGCTGCATTGGGCTTGGGCTTGGGCCTGGGCCTGATTTTCCTCGGCGGTCCATATGCTGTTGAGGAACTCGTCCATGTTCATGGACCCGAAATTCTTCCCGCTTTCGTTGATGGTGTTTTGGAACTCGTCGAGAGTGAGAGTGTAAATGGACTGCTGACGGCTTATTACGGTCTCGTCTTCTTTTGGCTGTCGTTGGTGGTGGTGGTGGTGGTGGTGTTGCTGACTGGACTCGGTTACTGGTGAGCTGGCATCGGGCACTTGGCTCGTATTTTCGGAATCCATGTTTTTTTGTGATTGTGGTTGCTGGATAAGATATTTATATGTTTGTTAGGTCTCAACTGCAGTTCACAACATGAAATGAACTGTACGTGGGACTAATTAATCCAACAGCACAATCAACTTCAAATAGGAAAAACAGATCAAACTGCGCAGAATTACTATGATTTATTTTTTTTTTTTATTTTTTTTATATATAATGATTTTGGACTATTAACTACCCATCATAGTATGAACCATCTTCAATTGGATACTGTTAGTTACGTAAATTATCATAAATAAAAATGCATGTTATACTAGAAAATGTCGTTCTTGTTTTTTAAAAGTAATGATATTTTATAAAAAGTATGCATACTTATAAGAAGAGTATGTCGACTAATTGTTAGGCCGTCCCAACAGAAGGCCTATTGTGTTAGTTATACTTAGGGGTAATGCTACAATCCCGTTACGGAACCATTCCGTTGGGATTTGTAACCGTTAGATCACCTATCATTGACGGTTACTTGATGATCTAACGGTTACAATCCCAACGGAATGGTTCCGTAATTGGATTGTAACATTTTCCTATACTTAGACATGCACATATAGGGTATGCATTGTAAACTAGCTAGGTGATATAAATAGCTTAAGTAAATTTCGAGCTTATACTCTAAAATGCAAGCTAATATAATAAAATTATTTTGGTAAAGTTGGTAAAACAAAAATAAAAATTTCAATGGATTATTTGAAAAACCTAACATATGTGATACACCCTACCTTTTTTTGAAAAAATAATTACAAACTAAACTTATTTGAATACAGAATATTATAAACTAACTAAATAACATTACAATTAGACTTACCATCAATAGCTATTAAACAACATAAAATAACAGAGATGTAAATAAAACTAAATAAAATTCAACAACATATTAAATCACCATATATAACCAACCAAGAACTCCAACAAATGAAAATTAAGGCCTCACAACAACACAAGCATATACATACACAAATGAATATAACATGAACTAACCCTATAATAAATCGAGACAAATATATGCTTCACCTATTACCATTTCACCCTTTTACTTAAATAAAAAAATTAAATAAAGCAAGCAAGGATCTTTATCAAATCAAGCTCCAGATAAAGCTCATCCAATTAA